AATGGCCTCCCAATCTTTCAGCGACAGGAGGTCGAGTTTCTCCTCCAGCGTGTTTCCGGCCTTTGTCTTCTGGTCCAAAAACCGGAGCTTGTCCAGAAACTTTATTCGGAACTCCGCTTTTTTGATAGGCTCTTCGATCCTGCCAAGCACGGTGGCTACATATCTGATGTGGAATGCATTTCCGAAGTGGAACGGACATACCCTGTCCTGGCGATCTCTCTTATCCTTCCCTTCAACCAAGCTTCCATGCCTGGGCCCGGGGTTCCACATGGCGGGTTTGAATATCATCGTTCCACAAACTTGCCTGTGTTCTGCATCAGCGTTGCGGTGCGGGCCTCCTGGTCACCAGGAGGCTGGCGTCGTAGAGCTGATGCAGCACGTTGGTGGCTCCTGAAGTGGAACGATATAAGTGTGGGTTTTCCTTGGGACTTCTAGACTTTCCAGGATTTAGGCATTTTTGGGCGTGAGCATTCTGCATCAGCGGTTGGGCCTTGTGCACGTGGCGACACCAGGGCGAAAAAAACGATCACCTGCACACGATGTGGAACGTGCACACTCAGGGGCACACCGATGCGGCACGTGTCGTCGAAGTGGCACGGACATATTGCAGGACCCCTGCCGCCCTTCTAAATTAATCAAAAGCCAAGGACCCGGTTTGGAGTCTTCCCAGACTCTGAGAAATCAAACAACAGCAGAACCCGGGCACTGGGCAGAGACTCACGGCCTGCACGTGGCCGAATGCACCGGGCCAGCAGCCCCCATGAGTGAACGAAAGGCGTGATCAAGTTGGCTATTGTTTTGAATCCTTCAATGAAATCCTCTGGGAAACACCATAAGCTACTCTCTAGAAAGAGCTGATGCACGGCGGACTATCCGCCCCCCAGCAACTGTGTCAAAAGTAGTGCAGCCGCTAAACTACATTTGACCCCTGATTCCAGAGTCTTAATGATATTGCAATCATCAGAAACGGACTCCCACGTGAGACCATCCAAGCAGCTAAAGTGATCACGGAACAGGTGCATGGAATCGTCTCAGTCGAAACAATGAGCGAGAGACAAGGATTAACCTCTCATTTCACTTCGGCAGCACGAGAGCAACAAGGTGTGTCGACTCGCAGCACATGAAGGGACCAAGTCCCTCTTTTGCGTCTGGTGGCACAGGCGTGTTTCAAGAATCTCTGCGGGCAGAGCTTTGCAATGATCTCGGACTCAAGTCAATCCAATCAGTCCTTAGATGAAGTGTGGGATATTGCGAAACGACAAATACAAAGCAGATCCACACCACAGCCTTGCAGTCCAGGCGTCCTCAGGCAGCTCCTGCTTAAAGTCTGTGGCATCGGTCTGTGAGCTGTTTTCCTGCGAACATTCGAGAATCCAGCACAAAACAAAAGAACGTCCTGCAAACACTCTGGCCTTCAGGAGTCCCGGCCAGGACTTGAAGGCTCGCTTTGCTTTCAGAGTCAGCTTCGAGAACAACTCTTGAGACTGTGCCCCCAGCATGGAAATCAAATCGCCTCAGATAACAGAATTATAGAAAAGGGCAAGCAAAAACCTTCAAAACCTCAAAGCCAAAGGGCTTTCTGCGACGTCAAGCAAGTTGTCCAGGCAGTCATTCATATTCAGCAGGTCCTCTGCGACCAAGATGTCCTTGATCACGACTGTGTCTCGCCTGGGCTGCAACATGATATGCGGACACTCGCTGGCCCCCGTCTGATTTAAGCATCACACATGCACCCAGGTCACTCCGAAAGGCCAGCAGGGAGGGAATCAACAACTTCTGCATCGATGCAGCTGTGCGTGTCGCCGGCCTGGTCTTCCTCCTTCGTCTCAAACTCGGGCTCAGGGGAGCCCGAATCTCTCGGTTTCGTCGAAACCGAAGCAGGATCGCGGCGGTCGGGCTTGGGCTTCGGCTGCGACAGCGGAGAGGCCGCTTTTCGTTTCTTGGCAGCCGAGGATCTCGTGGAAGGCCGTGAGTTGGCCTCTCGCTTGTCCACCAGCAAGCTGCTGGTCGCACGGGCAAATCTGCCCCCAAACACATCTTTGTCCTCGCCCGATTCAGACCCCTCAAGGCTTCCGGGTGTGTCGCCGGGCACAGGCTCACACCCCTTTTCAGAGGGGGATGCGAACAGCCTCCTGCGGGCGGTGGGTGTCCTTACCTTGCGGCGTCGCCGCCCCTTTGCTTCCGAGCCATCAGGCTCCTTCTCATCCTTCTCCTTGGCCGGCGTTTTCGCTGCCATCTTCTTCAAGTCTTCTTGGGCGTCCTGGAGCATGTTTGCGGCGTCTCTGATTGCAACACGAATGTATGGAAGACTGTCACTTATGCAAGCACAAGATAGGCTCCGGATTTTTTCACTTCCAAAAAAGTGCTCGACTCCCTGACCATAGCCGGACATGTAGCGAAGGGCGACTGATCGCCTCTCTTATCTGTACAGCAACATCCACCAGCAAACTCACCAATGATGCTTTGCTTGCCCTCCACGGCTGCGTTTCCTGTCGGAACCGAAGTAGCGTTGCTCAGCAGCCCGTTTGCTCTCTCCCCTGAGCTTGCAGGCGATAGAGAAAGTTGTCGTGTGTGTACATATACATTTATGTAGATAAAAATACATTTATACTTGTCTGCATATACACACACGAAAAGACAGTTGCATGCTAGCTATAATTCTCTACATTCACATATACATGCGGGGATGTCGTCAGATAGCTGAATAATTAGGTGTGTGGGTGTGGTCATACAAGAATTTAAAAGATTAGTTCCATCAACACCAAACCCGGGATCTAGCAAGCGAGCCATTATCTCTTGCCTCACCACGACATCGATACAGCAAGACACCTTGAACAAACATGACTCTTTGCATAGCAAGGAGGCTAGAGCCAACTAGTAACAGTAACACATTCTAAGGTCAGTACATTATCAGTCCACGTGAATTAAAAAGCATACCTACCAGCCTACACATTGGCGGACCTAAGGAAAACTGGAGCGTGGGTTTGGGGTCTGGGCTTTGTGGTTCAAAGTTGAGATGTGTTCCAACACACACACACACAGAGACGTGTCAAATAATCATGTGCAAAGTATAGAATGTATGTGTGTAGGTGTGTGTGTGTGTGCATGCATGCATGTATGCATGTGTGCATGTATGTGTACATACATATAGATCTATAATGTGTATTGTGTGTGTGAGTTAATCAGGGCCCTACTTTATCTGGAGATTCATGCGAACCTGAACAAGACACGACTGAATCTTTCGGTCCACGACTGACATCGTACAAAGATACTAGTGACTAGGTGCAACCACATGACCTGTCTAATCTGAGACTAGTAGATTCTGCCGGCCTGAAACCACTGGCGTGCGAGAAACAGCTGCAAACCGGGGGTAAAGGACCGACTCTTGTTTCTGTTGCTGGGAAACGACAGCAAAACTGGGACTCAACCAATCAATCATTGAATCAATGAGTCAGTCAATCCACTTCGACAAAGAACTCATTGACTACCATTAGTTAAACTTGGGATTGAAACTTACCTCTGCACTGTGGCATGACAACCGAGGAAAAACATTGATAAAACACCGACATGTTTCGGTAGCCGAGGGATCTCCAAGGGTCGAGCCTTGGCCGGGGGTTTCGCAGTCGCCTTCGGAGGAGTCTTTGGCACGGGAACGGCAGGATGCTGGGCTGGGCCGCAAACCTCATGCGGTTGTGGAGGAGGCGGAGGCGGTGCCAGATTGCTCGGCTCGTCCTTCGGCTGTCCTTGTTCGGGCACTTCAGGAGGTGGATCCAAAGGTGGCGGCGGAGGCGGTGCACTTTTCGAGGCCGGCGGATCTCGCGGTGAATTGTGGCTCGAGGCCGGCTCACTCTCGTTGGCTGGCCTTGCAGTAGGGGCCGTAGTCCCTGGAAGATCCGGCGTAAACCGGGCGAAGATCTCGAGGACACCGGTCTCCACCCTGTACTTGCCAACTCGCTTAGCACCACCCCTCGAAGTGTGCTTCGCTTGCTGCTCGTCCTCCCTCTGGGAAACCTCTGGCTCCGGCTGCTGAGCTGCGGATGCACCCTGCACGTGCCGGTCCATCACTCCACTTACATGCTGGAACACGAACTGTTGTACCCTGCGGCTGTTGGCCGCCTGCTCGTCGTCATTCGGGTACATCGTCCTCGGGTGGATGCTCTGCACGAACTGGGCCATCTCTGCACTTGCCCGCTGCTGGATGATTGCCTCGACATGCGGGGCGATGGCCGAGCCCAGAGCATATGCCAAGTCGGGCCCATAAGACATGAGCCCACTGGCTGCTGTCAGCAGCACCCTTGAGAAAACAAAAGCCTGCAGGGCACTGTGGAATCCCATCTGATGGCTGCATGAGGTCTCGATCTCAGGTCTGCCAACTTGCAACTGAAACATGTGCCGTCACACTGCCAGCAAGCGTGCAAGACGAGCGAGCGAGACAGAGAGAGAGAGAGAGAGAGAGAGAGAGAGAGAGAGAGCGAGAGAGTGAGTCATTCAGAGAGAGAGAGAGAGGTCAATCCGGAGAAGTTGCAGAACCTGCTGATTTCTCTTCCATGACCAACAGGCTTCAGCACTGCAAACTCGCCTCGCATGGACAAATCAGCATCTTCTGCTGCTGTGCTAAGAACGGGAGCTCACGGGCCGGCATTGCGAGCCCTCTTGGATCGATTGCTCTCCTTGGCCATCACGTCCTTCATTGCCTGGATGGCGGCAGACTCCCTCTTCGCCACAGATGCCTCGCGAGCAGTCACGGAGAGCTCCCTCTCATCGAGATCCTTCTCCTTCTTCTCCAGCTGATCTTCCCAGTCCTTGAGGCGTTGGTCGCGAATGGACTCCGTGCGGGTGATCATCGCCTCGATGTGCCCAAGCATCTGCGACACTGCCTCTGCCACCTTGTCGCCACCAGACATGGCAGCAAGCACAGGAATCCTAAAAATCTCGCACCGAGCTTGAGTCTGCGTACTGCAGATCCAACAACTTTTGTCAGCACCCACCACACTGCACGATCACTCGCAATCGCACACCCGGTTCATGGATCGCTTACAATCACGAAGCACAAGTCGGTCCTCCCGGAAGCCATTCACCATTTTTTCGTAGCTTTCCTTCACGGAGGCACTCTTCAGGCCCTCGTGCCTGACACGGCAGGATTAATCATCAAACGGTAGTCGAAAGACCCGAATCATGAAAGATAAATTCATACATACCAAACAAGTTGTAATTGTATATATACATATGTGCTTAGTAATGTGTACATGCGTACATACATATATACATACAGACATACATGCATAGTCACTTGCATAGACCCATACAAGCATGCATGCATCCACACAACCATAGAACATACACATGTATATGTATATATGTGTAGGAACGTAACATGTACACATGTACAAATACATGTGCATGCATACATACATACATACATTACAGACATTGCAAACACATATACATAAATACATTCAGACATCCAGCCCAGTTACAAATATAGCCAAAACACAGGCACTCGGCCAACACGTGGTTCATCACTAGGTTAGATGCATCAATGCACACCTATATACGGCGACATAAGTATAGACATAAACCTCAACCTCCTCCACAAACACATATAACATATGTAGACACACAAAAGCATTCATTCCTGGATTGGTCTATGGGTTCGTTCTTACCTACATTCATATGGACATACACACATATGGCCTGAGCCGGACCACACCTGCGTGCCTGCGGTCCTGTCCCCTTCGCACTTCTGCCCTCGATCTTTGCTCATCTCTCTGTCTCTGTCCGAAACGATCTCGCTCTCTCTCTCTCTGTCTCTCTCTCTCGCTCTTTCTCTCTCGCTCTCTTTCTCTCTCACTCTCTCTCTCTCTCTCTCTGTCTCTCTCTCTCTCTCTCTCTCCCTCTCTCTCTCTCTCGCTCTCTCTCACTCTCCCTCTCCCCCACCTGTCACTGTTTTTGCAGCTTTCATGCGGCTAACTTTCTCTCACTAAGCCACTCTCTTGCCTCTCTTTGAGCGGGGCTTGGGCAGCTGTTTTATAGTTTCATTGGTCTGGCTGCTTTCGTGTTTGCGTCGGTTGTGTTTGTGTCCGTGTTGTGAACCGATTTTGAAAGTCTGGTGTGCTCGTATGGACACAAGGAGGCAAATG